GACGGCTAAGAGCAGCACAAGCACAGGTTTGTAAAACGTCGAGTTAATATTTTGAAGTTGACTAGACGCGTATTTATTTGTAGTTGCAATAACGGTGATGTCGAAGGCTAGATTTGGACTTTATGGTAAGTATTAGCGAATAAGTATTATCTATCAGCGGCGAGTATTACACTATTTTACGCCATGCGGCAGTTTACGTTGTCATGCGGGTGAGTGTTTTCCCATGCGGCAGTTTCCGTTGCCATGAACTAACTAATCAATTATGTAGATAATTTGTTGGTCGAAAGTACTCCATAAATTTTAAGGAATACGTAAACAAGCGGGTAACTAAAAACGAATATATGTCAATTAAATATTATTTATAATTGATACTATGAATTATTGCTTACGAAAATAAGTAATTCTAGCGTTTTATTAAATTCTTGAACCGGTTGAGCCTGCAATATACCATTCTTTTTTTATGTTTGGCAGTATAAACCACTGGCTCCGATCTCATTAATGACAGCCATGTACTTGATACGTTTGTAAACCTGTCCAGTATTGCATACTGTATATGTCGCAGTAGAAAACAATATTAAGTCGATGGACCTTTATCATGCTAATTGAATGCATTTCCGTGAAATGTAATGTAGACCATGATGTTCAGTATCTAATTCAAAACGATACAGTTCCGCTTAATTTTGAGAACGTGCCTAATTGTGTTTTTGGTGATTTACTCTGATAAATTGTTTAGGCAAGGTCTCCAATATTTTGGTAGACTGTAATTACTGTCAAAGTCATTTGTCTATTCTTTGCTTCGGATCGTTTTATCCACCCTTTCTCGTAAGATTGCAACTCTAATAAATCAGATAAGCGAGTCACATGGTAAAATCTTTCCCGAAAGGTATATTAATATAGCAGATTCTATCTCATCATGCTTTCATTGTTTGTATATTATTTTTTAAATGCGATTCACAAACACCATTATAATTATAAAGCAATTTCAAAAGTTTTCATCATTTCTATCATTGACCTGGATAATACTAAACGGCTTACGTAAGCCGTCTGTTAAAATAAAATCGGCCCAATATGCTATAAAATCACCTGTCGAGCAACTGCGCTGAATAAGCGAAAAGCGAAAGACATAATTAATTATTCAAAACGACATCACTTTGTTAATTAATAAGATAGACAAGTGACGAAGCTTGACTAGTCGAAACACCAAGTCGAAGTGTCTGTTTGCATAAAATAGAGTCTTCCTTTCGGAATACTTGTTGCTGTTACCTAGTTGTAGGTAAAACTTATTTTGATACGTGTACGAGTACATCGCATGGGAACAGGATAAGCATAATTAAGTAAAAAATTGCCTATTAGCTTAGCATCCAGTCATTCAGTCGTATTTGTAACAAGAGCGGTGAATACGTGAGCTGACTTGCGTAAGACTTCCCTGTCGGCAGAACACCCCTACGCGATAAATTTAAGCGCTTCCCAAACACACATAAATAATCGCCAACAGCAACAATGAAAGTAAAGAGTCTAATTCAAAAACATTGCCTGGATCTTGCATCGAACACAACATTTCTTATTACCGAATACAATTTCCAATACCAAAGAATTCTTTATATGCGATCATGCGATTGTGTAAATTATTGTGATTTTTATATCGAAATTTGCTATATAATAAGCATAATTAATGCCAAAAATTGTTCAATCGAGGCAGCAGCACGCCTATAAATTAATAGTTAACCCCACATATAATATATACAGATAAGGAGATATCTGCTACACCGTTTGGAGTAATTAACTTCTCAGAAATAATAGGTTGATATGCAGTTGTTATTGTAAATTGACGGCACGTCGACTGTATTTATCATAACAAGACAGACAAGAATTATCCACAGTTTATTATGGAGATGTACACACACACACCCTAAGCAACGGAAAACACGTAAAGACCGAAGTGAATTGGCAAAAGTTTACCAAACAATTGACTGCCATAAAGAACAAAAGGCTACACTTATAATACAAGATTAGAAGGTAATAGAAGAAAGTAATTAAATCGTAGTTACACTAATTACAAATAGATAGACTTGAGTTCGCTCGCAGCCAATTTCTATACAATGATTATTAAAGTCGTTTGTGAGAAGGGAATTAATATTAAAGACTAAAGCTATTATGTGCTCTCAATAACTCGAGAGGAGAGACAACAAGTATGAGAAAATGTACGCTGGTGTAATAAAAATAGATAGTAACAAGCCAAAATATGTCGTAAACAACATGATTTTGCCACACGGAACCACGTAAATAAGCCAACCTCATCAAGACGTAAGCTTCATTTATACTTTTCGGGATAATATCATTCTAAGATGTTTATGGAGAGGTCTACTCTCATGTTCCTGCACAACTGGAAAGTAAAACCCGTCATACAATGTTACTAATTGAAGAGCATGCGCCAGGCACTTTCAATCAGTGACCTTTTCTTCTTAAGCACTGGAGCCGGTTGTACTTCTCGTGTCTCTACTGTTATTGTGGTGACTGTCGTTGTGGCGGCGGTAACAACAGTACTCATGTGAACTACTGTTAGACACATTCCGTCGTCGTTTATTCCCTCATCTAGTCCTCTCGCTCTCAAGGTATCATGTGTTCCTCGATCATACTGATTTGACAGCAGTAAATCTTCAGGTGAAGCCGATAAGTCATCGGATGTGTCAAAGTAATCAAATCTTCGTGTAAAGTACAACATTGGTGATGAAAGTGGAGATCCAATGGGCGAGGCGTATGGAGAACTTTTCGGGCTTTGACGTCTCGAAAAAGTGTAATTTGATAGACTTGAAGGGTTAGGCAGGGATATAGCATCTTGGCGTTGACATTTCTCGCTGCAGTATAACGAGTCCATGGCAAAGACTTGTCTGTCGCAAACTGGACACCAGGACAAATCCATTGTATATTGATATGTGTATGGATAGAGTTGTGGGTTGGGTTGGGTTGGGTAGTATACGTTAACGTTAAATGCTAGATTCGTTATAATGTATGTGTTTGTAAGGCGTGATCGTTAAATAAATGTATGTAGGTTATGTGTATTCAGTTTATACGTGTTTAGTTTATATGTGTGTGTATAATCGTCAATTGATTGTCCGTCTATTTAAAAAGTCGTTTCTCATAAGCTTTGTCTCTATTAATTCATTAGCATTTATCCCTTCTCACTATCGAAGAAACTCGAATTGTGATAGCGTCAGCGTTGGGCAACGGGCAGGCAGGTAAGGGCTGAGAGCTTTTATAAAGCGAAAATGGAAGCCCACTTCGGGAATCGAGCATCAGAATGGAATGTTGGACTTTGATCTGCGGTTGTCGTACTAAACGCTTCGCCCGAGCGAAGATCAGAGATTTCTAAATAAAGCTACTCCGAACTTATATATTCATGTGTAATAGGCCCCTGCCGCAGTGATTTAATTTAAATTTAATAGGCTAGATTAATGTAAAATTAATCCAGCCCCTCAATAAGCGATTAATATGACCAAATATTTATTGCGATAATTAATGATAATAATAATGCTCGCAGCTCACCTAGTTATAACCTTTGTATAGTAATATACTAAACATTGGTATTATAGTCATATGAATATATGAAATTTTTCTATAAATTGCGATTGTCATTAATATTATCCATTATTTAATAACTACCGTTGCGTGAATGCGGGGAACATGTTGCAATCACAAGGTTACATCCATAGCAAGTTAAAGTTATCATGAACAATTAAGGTTTATCAGACAGCATTATATTGATTAGAACGCAAATCTCCTTGGCGCGCGTCTTCGTATGATGCTTTTTCGATAATCATATGAGTATGAACCAATAAAGTCCCATCCCATGCTAAGTTAAGCATAATGGATAAATTTCGGGACAAGATTGACGAATGTGTCATACGAACTATGCTATAGAAATTCATTTCAACTGTGAAAATTTGCCCCACTTGGCAACTGAGGGGAAAGGGGGAACAGTGCACACATGGTGAACCATTGAACCAAAAAAACGCAAGTATCACGGAGATTGAACGTTACTTTAGGAATACCCCAGATTTACAGAGGTTCAGGCACAACCATTACCCTCCCTGTCATTCATTCCCTTGTGCCTTGTCAATATCCACAAAGGCTGATCATGCGTTATGCAATCTCAGTGTGTACAACATATCTTGGATACCAAAGAACAAATTTCCGTTCCAGGCGTCTAGTTATTTTCGGATGGTGAATAGCGATAGGGTGACTTTCTACAGATGATAGATAGCTTTAAGTAATTTTCTTGCCATTTACAGTACGAGAAATACTGTAGTAAAGAGGGGGGTGTGTTTATTCCCTTGTTAATCATTCGGTATACAAGAGTGTTGAAATATTGACAAGCGACAATATGTGCTCAATTTTCGAGTGCTAACCAAATAATTACAATACATCTGCGAGACAGTAACGTAATTATCGTATAAAATTGAGTGTGTGCCGTACAACTCTCAAAATATAAGCAGTAAAATAAAACGGATATAGTAGAATAGTATCTATTTCAGCAGTGATCTAAAATGGTTATATTAAACAGGAAATATATGTCGTTATCTCGACATCATCGAGTCATCACGTGTGATATATTAAATAACCCTCCATCTATTAAAGGAGATAACGAGCGTGCACAGAACTACAAAGCATTGATGCATTGAATTGCGTGGAATGCTTTCCTCGACCAAAGGTAAGTACTCTGCGATGTCACTTCTCTCTTATTATTAAAAACGCATGTCTCATCCCGTTCAGTAGAACAATTCTTTTCAAGATAGCTTACGATACTCAATTATAGAGTCATTGTTTGCAATCCTTTAGTTTTGAACTTCATAAGCAATAGAGTGATTGGTTAATAGATTATAGACATTCACTTCATAATGATATGTAGTACTGTAACATTAGTCGAATCCAATTATATCCCCTAATACTAATAACACACTATTAACGTTTTTCATTTATCAAACGATCGCAAATTATTTTACTAACGCTCGTAAACAGTTGTACGAATTATCTTTTCTCTGCCAGTCTTATAGAACGTCTAACAGCAATTGTGGAACTACTTCTGACCGTCGATACCGATTCTGACACATTGTTGGTATAGTTTAGAAAAAAGCGGATAACAATTAGTGGTAAATTGTGTGAACGAGCTCTAGTACCGTATTATTAAAATTAACTATTCAACAACAGACTTTTGTTCTAGGTTAACACTTGAACTCACCCGCGTCATCATCTGAATCCATCTCAGCGTTCTCCAACTCTTCGAACGCTAGCTTTGTTTGCATTTTTTTGCCTTCATTCCATTCTGTATAAGAACGAGTAGTTTTGTAACTGTGATATATTAACACTACGTGCAGAAATGCTTACCGTTTTCTTCTGGTTCAGACGTCAAACCCGTTAAAGCTTCAGAAGTTATGAGGGTCTCCGGCTCCATGTGAACTTGCTCCCACAACTCGACAGCTTTCTTTCCTGCACCAGAATATAACGTGACCGGAGGGTGGTGACCGTCAAATATAGTAAAGACTGCATGACACCCCTGAGAGTGGAGAATGTGAAACTGGGACATGTCTTGTTAGTACATTGCGAATTAAATAGTTAATGAGCAAAAAGAAACTTACATGGTCCTGCATCGTCTTAAACGAATGATCTATTATCTTTTGTCTGATTCTCGCTACGGGAATGTATACTATTATAAATTCTCAATACGGGGTTTTATTTAAACTTGAACAATTTTACCAGCTTTCACTCTTTCTTCCTCTTCCTCGTACGCCCTTCGTTCCTTATCGGAAAGGCAACTCCACGCGTGACTGATCACTTTATTCATCTTGTTCGCGTTGCTCAAACGTTCGTCCATTGTAAATTCAGGATGATTTCTCAGATACTCTAAACAGTTAATGTCAGCAAATTTCATCAGTAAAAGTTATTGGAAGAACAGGCGTTTTTACCTTCAACAGTTCCTTCTTTAGAAAAGTTCTTAAAAAAGACGTTGAATCCCAAAGGAGATCTCTTCATGGTGTCAGCATGTGATTTTTTCTGCATGAAAGCGTTCTTACATTTCGCTTTCTGATTAGTTATCCAATTCTGATGTTAAGTATTAGCACGATTTTAGTGTAAGGAATTGTTGCTTAAATAAGACATGAGCTTACATTTCATCCTCTCCTCCAACTTACTTTGACTTTTGCGACTGGTAAGCCTGCCTCGGTGGCCGCTTCTTCGATCAACTGGGTTTTACGGTGGTTTATCATTCCCCCCGCAAATTTTCGGTGAAGAATGGTAAGCTGATCAGAAGTAAAAACTGTACGAGACTGGCGAGCCATTTGATCAAGAAAGTTTTAAGTTGCTGTGATGGGTGACAAACAAGAAAATGTGCGCAGTTTGCATGAGAACCCCTCATCGGCTAAAATTTGCAGATTTGTGACACAAGATACGTAAACAGTTTAACGCATCAGGTATATTTATTATTATTGATGATATTTCCCAGCTCGCCACAAAAGAAAGTCACAAGGATGTGTTGTACAAATTATTTTTACGTAATCGCAACCTACATAACATGTGTAGATCACATCTCGACTGGATCTGACATCTTTTAACAACTCGGTTATGAAAACCTTTTATTTCAGCTACGGCACGCCCTCGGTGCACTTATAGAACAGTGAATAGATTACCAGAAACTGTTACACAGAATAAATAGCTTTTATTATCAGAAATATACTATCATATTCGAAATTTCATTTAAGAAAAAATATGTGTCAACGTATAAAATTTGTCTAGCCTGGACCAACTGGTGCACGAACTGGCTTTGTCGTAAATCATGTCTTTAATATTCGAATTACTCCAAGTTCTTTCAACCCAATTCACAAGTTCAGTTTATTGCATGTATAATTACAACGGCTCGCTCTGAGAATCAGTAAGAGTAGTTCTCTCGAGCAAATCTTGAGTTAACGTGACAACTAGTTATTATTATGCCGTTTACGTCATTCGGAAATTTAATAATAATGCCAATGTAATTCATAATGTAGTTTTGCAAGAACAAGTGTATTACTGGTACTGATAGGTAAATGCACGTCACTATTGTACGCACGTGCACTTATGGAGATTATACTATTACATCTGGGACTCTGCGTTGCTTGCATGTGTAGAACATGGAGTGCGTGCTTTGGAGATGCGACTGACCGCATAAAGTTAATGGTGAAATTTTGCCTATCTCCAAATTTATATACGACCTTCAATTACTATTCAAAAGATAATCTCAACATAATAATAATAATTCAAAAGGCAAATTAATTATTAATTAAGCTATTTAGAGCAATGAGAAAATATGAGTTCATTATCGTCTAATTTGGATACACGACTTGGGTTATCATAATTTTGCCAAAATATAATTTAAGGTTTTGTTTGTAACTCTATTGTTTTCGCTTTCAAATAACCCAGTTTTTAACTTTTCTGGAAGCAAAGCTTCAGATTAATTTCCTTAAGTTTTTTATATATTACAGTCAACTCGTACATCAACGTAATAGTAATAGACTGTTGATTTATTTCCAACCACTTTCTGTGCCGAGCTACAGCAGTAATTATATATTACTAACCATAACTGCACGTACGCACAAACTCTTTGTTATTTAAAACATGTAATAACTGAATTAGTAAATACCGTTATTGCAGAATAAAAATAGACATAAACTAAATAATATAAATATTTCAGCATTGCAATACCCGCGTATTAAAGTGCGAACGTAACAATAGCTATTACACATAAAGGTAACATTCGAGTTCAAAACCCAATGCAGAAAACATAAATTTTAGTGTATGCCTGACAAACTTATACGCTATTCTGTAAATATTACTCAATTTCAATTAAATTACAGCCCCTGATCCATCCATTTTTTTGTCATTTATCTTTAATTTCATTTACGTGTCCATTGATAAACAACTTAGTGGGTTTATCAAATGAAAAACTGGCGCAGGCGGCTATAACTTTTTATTGTTTATATATTTGCCACATATAGTTAAGTTGTCGTCTAACTTATTCACTACAACAAATATGTTGCCCGCACAAAACGTCTCGTTCTACTAATATTGTTGTAATCTTCTAATACGGAACGACTAGCACTGTAGATTTTTAGATTGACAGTTGAATATCAGAAAGTCCCTCTGATCAACGTCCTGGAATAGAAGTTAATAAATAGAAAAGCGGACGTATCCAAAATGGCTAGATTTACGAAGAAATATTCCTTCTCAACAAAGAATGTGGTAAGAACCACCGTTTTTTCTTCTCTAATTAAGTTGACGTTATTTTTATTGACATTAACATGGCCTCATAGAATTTAAAACTGATTTTTGCGATTACGGTTACTTGCATTTGTTCATCAATTTTCAATACCATCAGTTCCGTATCCGGAAGTGAGTTTCCTCATTCGAGATTTACCATCCATACATTTCTTTCTCGTCTAACGGATAATCCGGTTTCCCTGCTGACAGATCAGCACGTCTTACAATGGAAATACTCAAGTTGGGCCAGTCCGAGAATTACTATTGTTTCTACAATATTGCTTTTCTTATTGGTTATGATATGGTGATCAGATCTTAGATTGCAGTTTTCGATCCTTTTATCACAAGTCGTCCCGTGCTTCTTTTTTGTTAATGCGTTTTCTCAATAATAACCCCCTTGTAAAATTGCATTGCTGTTACGATTTTTAACCCTTGACATTGGGTGCCGAGATTTTATTAATATTAAAGTCATGTGACTTTCCCCGAGTTCACACATGGAAATTTTTTTGCTCCGGAAAAGGATTCCCGCCTGGTTGAACAAAGACCAAGATCGCCTTATTACGAGGGCAATGTTAAACAAACATCTATGCAGTGCTTGTTTATTGAATATGCGTTATTCACATGAATAAGCAACTCCACATGCTGGGTCGGCCGGAGCAAGTATAAACGCAGTAAAACAACTCCACCAATAAGACTGGAAATGGACATACTCCATTTGCCATATCGGGACATGTACTTTAAACCCAAGCAATCAATCCCAAACACCGATCGCACAAACCCATGTGAATGCCCATATCGCGGACATGCTCTTTACTCGCATTCCTTATCGGCCTTTCAAATTAAGCCTATCCTAACATCCCCATTACACCTATAAATTTCTGACCCCATGTTCTTTTTTTGTTCTCGTAATCCTACCCACGACCCAACATTCGCTTATATAGAGACAGTTGAGGACAACTGTCTTCTCTGTTGAAAAGAAATTCTCGCATCCGTTATAGAGTCCGTATTGCTGGCCATACTTGTTTGATAGAATAATTACCCTCCCATTCCTTGATCTCATTCACGAAACTACTGAGAACCAAAGGAATAGCGGAGTGGTAATTTTTCTTTGTCTCTGGTTGCCATTATTTCTCGTGATTGATAAAACTCCCAATTCTCATCTCCAGACCCCCCCCCTCCATCACGTCTTTTTAATCATCAAGTCAAAGCTTGAAAAACTTCTTCCTTTATAGAAATAAAACTCATTATTTCGCTACGCCTACAATCGTTATAATCAATTTTTTAATATTGCAATTCAATCGGTGTATAGCAAGCAATCCCCCCCACTACCTTTCTCACGATGACGGAAGAGATTGTCAGAGACTCGGCTACCTCAGATTCGACAAACATAAGATTTAGTGTGCCAACCGATGGTGTGCGCGACTCTATAGCCACTTCGGGAATACGCGATTCATATCTTAGTTACTCAACTGGTGTACCAGAAAGCGTCTTATCAGAGGATGACCACACCAAGCCTTTGGAGCCAAACGAAAAGCATGCCAAACAAAAAAACGCCAAATGGTATAAACGAAAGACGTTCTGGACATTCTGCGGAGTCAGCACCATCATTCTCACAATCATTTTAGTCCCGGTTATTATATTTGGCATCTTCCCTAAAATAGCACAAAGCTCAATTAACAAATCCCAGATCACCTACGACCAAATAATAATTGGCGACCCAATCACTGACACTGATTTCAAAATAAGTATCTCAGGTTCATTAAGCGGTGGTGGCAATTTCGATGCCGACGCTAGTTTTCCTGATCCAATACAGGTTTATTGGGAAGGTGCATTGTTGGGCGAAGTTCCAATGTCATCGGTTAAACTCAGAGGCGGACAAGCTGATTTCACTATAGATGATACATTCACGATCAAAGACGCAGCAAAATTCTCAGAATTTACAATATATACATTGACCGCTGAGACGTTTACTTGGAATGTACAAGGAAAAGTTAAAATCAAGGCATTGGGTATTACAAAAAGTGGGCTGACTTTGAACAAAGATATCGTTCTTCCAGGTAAAAAAACTTATCTTCATTATAGACAATAACTCTTTCAGATCTGTTGCAACGCGGTCCTTGTACTAACGCTACATCTCGGTACTATTCCCGCACGCACACATAACTGTTCAGGCGGTGATGGCTTTTCGCATACGAAAATTACAAATATAACCTTACCGGATCATTTTGACCCCTCCAACTTCTCATTGACATATTACGGATATTTATACAATCCGTCGCCCATTGGCATCCACATAGGACACACAGTCTTTAATGTTTTCTTTGGAGATTCTTTTATAGGTCCTGGTGAAATTGATGATTTGGTTCTAGTGCCAGGTAACAACACGCTCGTAATGACAGGCTATATAAGCCCAAGCGGGTCACCGACCAGTATTGCCGGATTGCTATTGTTCGTTGCCAAAGTCGCCCAAGGCCAGCGATTAACCGTCTTGGCCCAAGGTGTCTCTGCAGAAACGGCGGGAAAAAACATTACGTGGATAGACACTGCAGTCCGCTCAATGTCACTGACTCCAATTGTCAGCACGGCTCCATTCACACTGCCTCCATATTTTCCAAGTAATATGAATCCTCTTCTTTCTGAATCGACCGCACCACTCCGCACTGATGACTCAGTTTCTGACTATCAACTCCCTTTTACAGCGAAAAAACGCTCCCTGGCTCAGCGTGATCTATCATATACCGATGTTCTTTCATTAATAGAGAAAAATCTTCCTGCCATAAACGCTACCGTTGCGGACGTTGTCGATGCCCTGCAAAAAGCCGATATTTTCAAGAGTGGCGGATCATTTCTAGATATTCTTCTTGCTCTGGTAAAACCTTTCGTGCAAGATATTATCGATGGCAGTACAATCGATGTAAAGTCCTCGAGTATCTCAGACATTAAAGCAGATTCGTTCACGGCTCATCTTGTTGGCTCACTTTCCAATACTGGACCACTTCCTGCGACAATCTCATTTCCATCCGGAGTCACGGTAAAATTCCAAAACACAACACTCGGTAAATTACTCCTTCCACCGATTGACGTTCAACCTGGTGCAGGTGCCACGATTGAGCAAGACGCAAAGTTCACTATCACTGATGTCGATGCATTCACACAATTTGCTGGATTCATGTTAAAAAGCAAGGAATTCACTTGGGATTTGTCTGCTGATGACCTTAACGTTCAGTCTTTCATATTCTCCTTCCCCGGTCTTCAAATAAATAAGAGCATTACGCTCAAAGGTAAAAAAAAAAAAAGACATGTTAATTTTGTATTGTTAGCAATTCAACGAGTTTCGATTAGTAATCGAATATACATCACACTGATTTTCAGGTTTCGACGGTCTCAAAAATGTCAAGATCAAGAAATTCTCCGTGCTGGGTCCAGCGAAGAGTGGTAAACCAGGAGTAGAAGTTGGACTTGTGAATACAATCCCAAACGTTGCCGATATCGGTATCGACATGGGCGCTGCTACTTTCGTCATATTATCTTCAAAAATACCCATTGGAACGGCGTCTGCAGCACATCTCTCACTTACGCCACAAAAGGTAGCCACCGTGCCAATGTCTGGTGAACTTGTGGGAACGGACCAGGACAAAGCATTGATCGGACCAATGTTCAGTCTTTTCCTCGCAGGAAAACCTATTCCGATGGTTGTCAAAGGAGACACAGTTCGCCCATCTGGTGTTGATGGACCTGTGCCGTGGTTGGAAAATCCCTTCAAGCAACTTGCGCTGGATCTAACATTACAAGTCCCCCCGTCCAAATTAATCGACCAAATGGAAGTAGTGTTTTCGCCTAGTACCGTGATTAGTGGAAAGGCAGTAGCGAAAATTACCATGACTAATCCTGTCGGTGCCGACTTTACCATTCAAGCTATTGATTCGGAAGCCTTTTTCCTTGGCGAAAAAATCGGAGAAGTACACAAGGATTTCGGTAAAAATCCTATCGTTGTTCCTGGTGGCGCTACCGCTACAACTCCGGACATCGAAATCACCATTGTTATTCCTTCTGATATAAAGGTATTAATTGGACTCGCCCAGTCTGGCGGAAACATAGAAACGGATGTGAAACTCCAAACCAACGCGCTTGTTGCCACACTCCCAGCCACCATCACTTACCAACAGGAAAAAGTTCCCACCAAAATGTCGTTTGACCTAAGCTTTTTGAATTTCATAAAACTCAAGGCAATCACGCCCGAGGACATCAACACTATTGACAAGATAATCTCTGAATTTGTTCCCAAAAAACGCGATTTAGTTAAGCGTGATCTGACGTTAGAGGACATTGTTTCGCAATTACAAAAGCTAGATATTGTCAAAGATCCTGCCGCCATCATCAATAACGTCACATCATCACTGCAAGGTCTTAATCTACCAAAGTCTCAGCTTGACACTTTCGCCGTTGGTGACGTACTAAAGCCGATTATTCAGCCAATTATTGACGGAAGTAAACTTAGTGTGTCTAGCTCACAAATCTCTCACATTAAAACAAAGTCGTTCGTCACGCATCTTGTAGGTGAAATTAGCAATGCCGGATCAGTTCCTGCTACTATAAGTTTCCCAACCGGAGTTACGGTATCGTTTGAAAAGAAAAAGCTTGGTAAACTGCTTCTTCCAGCAGTTAATGTTTCTGATGGTGTGGCCAAATTTGATAATGACGTAGACTTCAAGATTGCCGATGTCGAGGAATTTACGAAATTTTCTGGAGCCATGTTGGCAAATAAGGACTTCACGTGGAAGCTATTTGCCAAGGATGTTGTCGTCAATATCCCGTTAATTGAGATCAAGGGACTTACGCTGGACAAGGAAATCACCGTTAAAGGTACGTAATCTATCAATATTACCTGTTGTAATGCGTTGAAACTAAACAAGTTATTAATTTGCATTATTGATTACAGGTTTCGATGGTCTTAAAGACTCCAAGGTCAAGGACCTTAAGGTGACGGGTCCATCTAAGCAAGGTGCTGGAGTCGCATTAACTATTGTAGACACATTCAAAAATCATGCCGAGGTCGGTATCGAACTTGGTGATGTTACTTTCGACTTGGTATCCAACAAGCTTGTTTTTGGAGATGCAAGTGCATCGGATGTCAAGTTTAAGCCAAAAAAGCCTTCCGACATATCAGTCGCCGCCGAAATTCTACAAACTGCAGAAAACGAGAAATTTATCGGGCCACTAATCTCAGCTTTTCTTGCCGGACAGCCGATTGCAATGACTGCTAAAGGAAAGTCAGCCAGCCCACCTGGCACTGATCAACCCGTGCCGTGGTTGGAAGAACCGTTCAAAAATCTTGCATTGGACGTAAAATTAAATGCTCCACCCGCCAAACTGGTTCAACATGTTGATATAACGTTAACTAGTCAGACAACTGCGGATGTGACGTTTACTGTGTTTAATAATGTTGATACGGATGTTGCTATAGCTGCTATCAACTCCACATCGTCATTCCAGGGGAAACCGTTGACAACCCTGATCCATGAATTTGACCCACCTGTTGTTCTAGCCGCTCAAAAGAATACTACATTCCCACCAGTTTCCTTTACGCTTCCTACCGAAGGACCGAAATTACCTATAGGCCAAGAATTCCTAACAGATGTTCAAAGTCTAAACCAGATAGTTATTGGTAAGCTTGTAACCGGCGTTGGTTATGCGCAGAAAGATATTCCAACACTCATCCACCCCCCAAAATGAAAGCCGACCGGATGTATGTAACATGTTAATAATTAAACAGCAAGCATATAGGGCTTTTGTTTTGTCTGGTGCAAAAAGATATTACGAATAATTTAATTTTGATGTAAAATTTTTATTACATATTACGATAAACTAATATAATAAATAATCGTGATGTTAATTTAAATACGATAAACGAGAATTGGAGAATTTCAATGACTGATACGTAAATCGCCAACGTGTAGTAAAACTATAATAATAACGGCCCATTCAATTAATTTAATCGGTTGACATCATCTTATTACACGTAAATTTTACGTGACGAATTCAAAAAACTTGACCGTAGAATATTTTGCAATGTGTTTATTAGAGCTGACGTATACAATGCAATATAGTGGTGAATTCTGGTTGGCTCAGCACACAAATGGCAAGGAATAGAGATCCCATCCACGTGAGTGCGAGACAAAATATTTGTTTTCATTATACCTCATTTCTATATTTCTCGTTTTCTCTTCCTACACACATTCATGTCCTTTAAAGACTTTTTTACGTCTCTAACGACCCTCTTCGACTCCCGATCCCTTTGCGATGTAACAGTGATTGCAGGAAATAACCACAATGCAACGGAATTTCGAGCACATTCGTGTATACTGTGGGCGAGATCTGAATACTTCCGGAAACAACTAACTGAAATGAGACGTACCTTTCAGATAGAATCAGTAAAGATCAGAGTCGAGTCTATCGAATCTCAGGTGTTTGCAATTATACTTAGGTGAGAGGGAGAGGAAAGCTGGGTTTTTTCGCAACTGAATAATGAAAGGAGGGGGAGGTGTGTGCGTGAGCGGATAGCTGTTGCGCGATGCAATGTCTGTGAATAGAAATGATAACTGAATTAACTCACTCATAGAGGACATTTATCAGTAATAGTTAATTTGCAAAGTGCAACTATCATATCAATATCAAATCTACGATGATGCTGTTTTTTTAATATGTCGCCCCTCGTTTATCTTTATACTTTTTCTTTGTCTTCTTTCTCCCGGCTTTCTATACACAACATGTATAACATGCCCACCCCATCCTAAACCTCTTGCTCTATTATCTTCCCCAGATTCATGTACACAAATCGTCTCCCACTCCCTCCTCCTCCTCCCCATGATTATATTGATCTTCTTATCGCATCTGATATTCTTCAAATGGAAGCACTTGCCTCACACATCCAAGATCGAATGTTAATTTCTTCGAAAAAATGGATAAAGGAGAATTTTGACCGAGTCTTGAAGGAAACTGAAGGAAGAGAAAGCTGTAAAAAATTGAGAACTTATGCTTTGGAAAGAAGTGAGAGGAAAGAAAGAGAAGCAAGAGAGAGGATGTGGAGAGAAAGCGTGTTGAACGGGAGTTTTATGAATGATGATGTGAAGGACGATGATGTGAAGGACGATGATTTGAAGGACGATGACGTGAACGGGGATGGTATGAATAATGGTGTAAAAGAGGATGGTGTAAATGAGGATGAGGGGGATGAGAGTGATGAGAGGGATGAGGATAAGGTGAATGCGGGGGTTAAAGCGAATGTGAATGAGATGAATGAGGATGAAATAAATGAGGATAAAATGAACGAGGTTGAAATAAATGAGGATGTGGTAGAGCAAACTTGTAAGAGTAAGGGGAAAGAGGGAGACATGAGTGGAGTCGACGAAAAAAATAACATTACTGCAACACTACAAAGTGAACTTCCAGATGAGAAAGAAACGAACACTGTCAAGTCAGTAACTCAGAGCAAGAAAAGAGATTCGAATGATGGTCTTTCAGTTGAATTTCAAACGCCCAGAAAAAAACGAAACAAAACAACGAAGACTGTCTTTGAAGATGATATCCAAACAAGAACAAGTTTCATAGTCAAATTGCGACTACGAAAATAACTTGTGGTATAAATTCATACTGTAACATCTTTTGATTGTTTTTTTTCTTCTTTTGATTCTAATAACTAATATGATGGTTCTAGATATTTTTGGATTCAAGTGGAAAGAGAAGGACTTTTAAAAAAGAAGTTTTGGGTCAATCAGAGAAGAATTGACACACGATAAATGAGATAGATTAATTTACCTTTTTGGACAAAAAAAAAAAGCAATTTCTAAGAGTCATATAGTATAATTCACCAATTCCATCCACAATACACTACTTCAAATTAATTCCCCAATGAAACAAAATGTCAAACAAGCTAACGGATGGGAATGTCTCTTCTTCATTGCTCGCTGCTGTTTTCCCTCTGCACGTTATCAGATCGAAGCCAATGGCTTAAATCCACTTGAGCTTGCAACAACGATTAGCAGCGCAGCAAACTTGATCGCGACGGCTCATGCAGTAATTGATATTTGTCGTTCTGCACTTTAAGTACGGTTTGTTTCAGCCCATCAATTGAGCTTCAACTTCTAGTTATCTTTTGGAAAATTCGTTCGATCACGGTTTCAAGATGAATTGTACATACTCTGCTCTTCTTTTTTTTTGGTTCGCAAAACGACTAGTTTACTCGTAAATATTAGGTATTGGAGAGCGATTCCCGATTCATCGTTAATGCGTTAGGACAAAATCGCAAAATTTATTTCATACGATTATGATCGAAAGGCAAGAAATCAAGCCATTGTTAATATTTCAATTGGCTTCAATACAATATGATCAATGGCTTTAAAGCATTTTCGTTAAGTAACTATTTGTTTCTATAACGAATCTGAAATTACTAATTCACTCTTCCAATTAACTTATTATGATGACTATCCGCTAGATCGGAGTTGGCTATAACGGTTCTATAATAATACACGTGCAAGCGTTGTAATATGAAGGAGGTTACGATCTGGACTTGAAGTTCATAAATTAACACTGTCATATTTCATCTATCAAAGAAGCCCAAACCATCTGTGTGTATAGTTGCATAAGGTAAAAAGCCATGAGTTTAGACCCTGTCCTTAAAATACGTAAGGATGATGCATGAATAGTGTCATATCGATGCTTATGGATGACATATTCCTCAGTGATTTCCAATCGATGGCGCAGCACAAGATTCCGGTGTAACGAAAGTAATTTCAAATAACGTTACTCAAACATGAGCTAGTCAGGGATTTGGTCGCACCTTAATAAGTAATAGTAATGAACGCCGATCAAGATTATTCTAGATTTTCTTTCGATTTGTGTTGGACAGAATAATAAATCACTCATGCTCCTGAACTCTCTAAACAACTATCGTTATCAGCTCCATTATCTGAATTAAATATGTATTTTATGTTTTTTAATATACTTAACAGCTCACTTCGCTTTTTGACCGCACGATCGCTCTCCCACGTGTAACGTCACGACAAATATAAATAAATGCAGTCAGGACTTATACCAAATATGGATAGTGTCGATCACTCCTTATAATATAAAAAAATGATTCAGAATATTCTGTACACTTCTAAAAGTTTTCCATGCCAAACAGCTGCTTTTTATTGGATAATTTGTTATATACAAAAAAGCCATTTTTATTGGACAAAATTTTTTATTCTGGTTTCTCAAATTCATTTCTATTTCTGAATTGAATAAAAATCTTACCTCTTCTAGTATCTTTAATAACTCTCCACGTCTTTTAGACTTAATCCTACCATACCTTTTCTGAACGCTCTCACTCATCTGTTCAAGGAGAGTTTCTACCTTCAAAACAATTTCTGCTTTGGACAGATTTGCTTCATTTTCTTGTGCAATTGCTTCTTGTTTGGTAATTGGTATTGGCCTAAATAAAGAAGCTGGTTTATTATTATGGAAAACTTTAATAATATATTCCTGTCGAGCTTTTTTTGCTAGATCCGTAAAATAACTTGATTACGTCTACTTAGCCATATTTGCGGCATATATTGTAATAAGTTCTCTAAAGCAAACCGACTGTTATCGCTAATCAAGGATTCAATGTCTTCGTATAAAGACTTCCGTTCAAGTCGCGCGATATCAATAACAGCCTTCACACGCTTGTTCTGATCGCAATACCGCGAATTCCATTGTTCGATAAGGATTCCTGTTTGCTTCAAGTTGTTCTTGGTACAGTCTCTTTGTATTGGTTAATTCTTCACAATATCCATTAAGACGTTTTTTCAGTTTTGATATCTCCCGATTTTGTTCTCCTACTACTTGCTTTAATTGACTAATAGTGTTAGTAAGATCTGATACAGACTGAGTTTCTTGATTCGCTATTAGGCTTCCGTCTTCAATACTTTCAAACGTTCCTAGTAAATGTAACTCATTCTTGAGAAGGGTCTCTTCATCGTTGCTTAAATCAAAAGTAGACTGAGAAAGGTTAGTATCGTCTGGGTTAGTATTAATTCGACGTCGTTTGTTACAATCAATAAGAGGATCATCTATAAGCTGTTGATAAAAGTAATTAGTAGATATAATTTGGTTATAATGTTTTTCACAAATAGAATAGGAGTTCAAAAAAGGTTCGAAGTCTATGAGTTCAGGTATAAATTTACGATAAGTGCAAGACGTTTAGTTGCTTGACCTCCACTAGCATATCGCCATACTTGCGATTCCTTCATCTCACAGGGCTTTAGTCCGAATTTACTGTATTTCTCAACTAATTCAACAAATAGACAAGGCAAATCCCTGGCTTTTTGCGTTGCTTGTGGCTGCTGTGACTGCGACATTTCTTGCAGTCGGTATGTAGGTATAAAATATATAAGTCTATATATGGTTTGGGTTGACCGACGAAAGCAATTTCCTATAAATTTACCGTAATTTTTAGGTCTTATACAACTTTTCGGAGAGACGTGATTATGAACGAGGAGGTTTTCTACTGTCTATCGGTGTGTTTATCAACCCGTGGTCAATATCGTAAAAATTTGTCAAATTTCAGTTGAAGTGCACGAATAAGAGCCAATTAAATTCAAGAAGATTATTCTCGAATCGAAATCCATTTTTGGTATAAGCTCTGGCTGTATTGTATCCGCGTTCTGCATGCAGATCTTTTGTAATAGTTTCAAAACTTATTAAACTTTGAACATAAAATTAGAAATTCTGACCTTTATTCAAAACTTACCTAATAAACCCTGAATTTAAAACACTCACGATGGATACCGACGCACGTCTTGCCAAGCTAAAAGAAAGATATGAGCGAGAACTTATAACTGAGGATGTTTACAAGCAAAGGCAAACCAAAATCCTCGATAATAGAGGTAATAACAACGACTTTGTGACTCGAGCGTTGGGACATAGAGTACGCAGTTTTATGGGAAAAGGTTACTGTAACATACTAGTTTCATACATAGGAAGCACAGCTTTCTCATATCACGAATTTAAGTAGAGTACTTGTATTACAAATCTTTTGGAGAATGTTACTGTTGCTGGGGGTTTTAAACTGATCCTAATTCCATTGTATTCCACGCATCATCCCGCGTGTTTGCTACGATTCCACCCGCGCCATTTATCCGCGCTCACATCTATCATTTGTTTCTCCCTCAACAATTGCAGAACCAGTATCTCCAATAAAAAGACGTCGTATAGAAGAGGGCTGGCAATCATATATGGCTTCTGATGGTCAATCAGTTGACTTGCCATCCAATATAATCGACCTACTCAATGACAACCAATACGTACCTGAATCGCGCGCCGATTTCTTAGAGGTCTTACAAGACGTTCAAGCTGGCCAATCCATTACACTTCCAAATCTCGGCCAACAACCCAAACACTTTGGAAAGGGCTACCAAGGAAGGGCATTTTTCGTTACTCAGCAAATGGTTGATATGTGGCAAACACTTTCAACAGATCAACAACAACCCTGTTCAATCAAGTGCGTTCTCTCAGGGCCAATGGGTGTGGGCAAGTCATACCTTGCACTATTCCTTGCTGCCAAGGCATATTCCGAAAATTGGCCAGTGCTCTATATTGCTGATGCAGGCAAACTTGACCAACCTACAGAAGAGAACTCATCAATAGAGATTTGCCATCGCTTTTTGTCACTCAACAAGGACATTCTGACTGCCGCTGAACTCAAGAAATTGGTAGAACATGAAGACAGATCAAAGCCTCTCGTGGTGTCTTGCGCTGCCACCATCTTTGGTGATATACTCCAGCGAACAAACCGCAAAACTCTCCTAGTTGTTGATGAGCATGGTGCACTGTTTGATAATGATCCTCCTGCACCTGTTCAGCTTCCCATCTTGAAACCTTTAATGACCCTTACCTATTGGGGAGAGCACATTGCAGGAGCACGTGTAGTCTTGACTGGTATCACACATGCCAAATTTGAGAGAAAGTACTTGAAAAGTGGCATGCAAGATTGGATTGTGTTTGTTGGTCCACTATCAGAGGATGTCTTCAGTAAGCTTCTGGAACTGCATCCTTTACTAGGAAAACTGACTATTGCACCAAAGGTGAAACAGATCACCAACTGCATTCCACGCGAGCTCATGCATCTCCATAAACGCATAACAAAATCAAATGGCACCTATATTCGCGAAAACAAGATCAATGATTCACTCACATACTTTCGTGAAGCTCGAAGAAATGAATTTCTGAAGCAAGCAAGAAACTATGTCCAGACACTTGACCATGGTTTCTTTGTAGATTACCGCAAAGCCCTTTCAAACATGTTCCTAAGACAGGCAGACATTGAAAGTACTGTAGACTTTGACTGGCAGTTCCTCGACACTGGGCTGGTATACCGGTTCAAAGATAAGTACAATTATGTGATGTTTAAGCCTCTATGCCCGGCTGCATTGGATGCTCTTCTGGAAGTGTACAAGACATTCCCATTGCCCAGTGACATTAGTGTAGCCTCCATCAAAAGCGGCCAGCTTACAAGTGATGAGTTTGAGGAAACACTATTCCGACAACTGTTGAAATATGGTGCCAAAGGTATAGCATTCAAGGCAACGGACCTGAATGGAACTAAGATAACAGATGTACATATCCAGTTCAAACACTTCTATTTCCTCGAGAAAGGTGAGCTTGCACCTGGATCGCAGCATGCCCAGTCTTTGATTCACGGCTTTGTGCACTATCCACGGTTTGATTTTATGCTTGGACGCATGTTTATCCAATTGTCTCTAAGCCGCTTCGATAAGCACAACACAGATTCAGCAATGATTGACTTGGCATTCGCACCTTACTATGCAAATGATCCAAGAAACCAAATAGAAATATATCTAGACACAATGTTTGGCCCTGGACACAAAGCTGAATTCACTCAAGGTCACTTTATTGTTACTCAGAATGGTCACCCTGTACCAGACTTTCGCATTGTTTATATCCGGGGTAAACCTGGCATACCTCGCCACCATGGATTGGTTAAAAGATATTCAGATGTAGCATTTATTAACTATGAGGAGATCAAAACTAAACTCTTTGGAGATTTCTTGAAATAAAGTAGATGCTTTGGAAGCAATTTCCACTTTGTTTACTTAGTAAATCGAATTGGATACAACTTTTTTTTTAACAGATACTCATCATGCAGCAGATAGTAATCTTTATGTCGTTTATATGAGAGTCTTTATTCAATTATATCGACTAACAACCTCATTGGCAATGTCAAATTTATTGTCACAATTAAAGGTCTTATACAAATGATCAAATACATCTCACTCTTCCAGTGAGTGAATCTAAAGCCATTGGTTTCGATGTTTCAACAACACTCCCATATTTTCTTTCCTGGACCGTTTTCAAAATGCAATTTAAGATTAACGCTAGATTATTATTGTTTTTTATAGGAGCAAAATTCCGAATAACGGAAAATCTAAACAAAAGACGATACATGATGAATTCAATATAAACTAAACCTTTAGCCAGCAACGTGGTTTCAAAACGATTCTTTGGGAACGTGCTTGCTCCAAGCGTATTCGGGTATACTGCAGGCTGTAATGTGTAGCATGACTTTTATTAGAGCAATCAATGTCTAAGGATGCTCCATCAATAACGTTGGGTCCCGAGCCATTTCCTCTCAACTTTAACGTTGGCCCCTGCTTTAAAATGCGTAATGATGCATGATTAGACGTTTTATTGCAATCAAGATGTTCAAAAATAGTCCCAATTAAAGTAATTTACCACTCGTGATTTATTATTCAAGGAACGTATGCAGGGCGTTCCCTGCCTTATTAAGGTTTCTTCATCCTGCAGGTCCTATAATAACTCTATTCGGTATAAACTTAAAATATGAATGTATGCATTAATAATAATTTTAAAACTTAATTTAATAAACTTTGTCATAAAATTAGAAATCCTGACCTTTTTATCCAAAACTTAGTTAATTACTCTAAATTTCAACCTTATTTGACAAGTACAACGCTATTTCGGTCTACAATCCTTAACCGTGGGTATTTGTGATTGTAACATTTTCACAGGTCTAAAACTGTATATGGACATTCTATTGTTTAGAACCGAATATGAACGATCTAATGCACAATGAGAAGGAAAGTGTGTTAAACGAGTTTGGACATTATACATATAGATGATGTAATCATCATATCAATGTAGAAAAGCGCCCATAAATAGAAGATATTGAATATTGTTCTATAATATTAAGTCGCTAAACAGAATTGTGTCTTTGAGACAATGAAAAGGCAGTCATCCATCTGACATATGACTAATACGTTCTGCCAAGAATTTAGTTAATATCAGCGAAAGCGTGGAAAATATGCGTTTTTGACATAGAATACTTTGCGTAGGTTCACAACCGTTGTATTTTGGTAATTGAAATACGTGTCAAAGGAAGCGATGGACACTCGGTTCTTTCTTCTGATTGTATTGATGACATCAGTTTATCGCCAAAGTGTGTAAACAATCCAATACTTGCTAAACGCTAGCGAAATAATTTCATAGTAGAGATCATTACCAATGCAATAAACCTTACGGGCAAGAACTTTTATGAGCCTTCAATCACATGTAATTGTATTTTACGTGTGGCTATGATTGATTGATATATGAGTAGTTTTCTTTTTCGAATTAGATTAAATTAAAGCAGGGAAACCCAATTGCGTTTCAACTCTTTAAGGATTTTTTTACGCATACAAAATATTCTCATAACAACCTTCTGCAATTTCACGTGTTTGAATTCTTTTTATATGTCATTCGAACATTCTTTTTATCCATGTCTCTTCTTCGTACCACAAATAACAAATAATGTCAAAGAATGACACTAAGGTTTCATACGTCCAAACCGATCATACCACATACACAAGAACACAAGCACAAGCACACAAGCACACAAGCACACAAACACATCACACATAGCATTCACACACACACTCACACACACACCACATTATACACCAAACCCCTTGTCATTTCCCCGCCAATCTTGAACCAAGCTTTTCTATATATGTCAAAGGCTAATACCACAAATGGGGAAGACAGACCGTTTATGGGTTATCAAATGAAATTCTGTCAAAATGAATGGGGGAAAGAGATATTTAGGATCGACAAGGAGTAGACTTGCAAAAAAGAAGACAATAGCACAATTGTTGATAGAGTATGGGAATAAAAGATTATATAAACATATTTGAAACTTGTTTGTATCTTAATCACCTTTCGATGATGAAGGGTTGGTGGGGTGAGTGGGGGTTGGGTGGGAGAGCAGGGCTGTGCAATTAATTGCAATAAAGAGTATATAAAATAATCTATAATAGAACGATGATATTCTAACCTAATCGGGTATAGTAAGCATCCACTCGGAGATTTACTTGTCTCTCTCTCTCACGGAGATTTACTCGATGATCCCTTCTCGTTAACCAGTCGGGAAAATAGTTGTATTACTGTACATGTATATAGTTCACGAGATGGTCAAGTATGCAAATCTCACATTTCAATTATGTTAGCGACGATATGCAAAAAAAAAAAATTCTTATTAACCAATCGAATTTCATTGTTCGCGAAGAATTGTCTTGTTTATCAAAAGAGAGAGAAGGAAAAAAAAAAGATTGGAAATGAAATGGGATTTTCAGACACACAAAGATCGTTCATAGTCCAATGATAAATTTCCACCATCCACAAGAAATGCAAGTTGCCATCTTGCTTTAGAAAAGAGATTGGGGGAAAAACTGGATGCAATTCAACTTGATTCAACAAGTTTTTTGTTGGAGATATTGTCCGAAGAAAATTCATTTACAAAAAAATATAAACAGTGTTGAAAAAAAAAAAAAAAGACTGAAATATACAAGAAGGTTGAAAACTTGATGGGAGAAGTAACTTTTTGAAAGCAAGTAGTAGAGAGGGAAAAAAAAAAAGTACTGGAAAGAAAAAACAAATTATGCTGTAGATGCAACAAAAAAAAAGGGATTACAAAAGTGGAGGTGGAAACCGCGAGATTATTGTACGTATAGTACATTGTCGTAAGTAGATGTGACGTAGGGATCGAGCGTACTGTGCATGTCAGACGTTAGTGAAAAAGGAAAAGATTAAAAAAGAAAAAAAAAAAAGAAACCCCAGATCCTTGAGTCACCACAAGTATCAAACAATAATACCCCTCTTCCTCTCTATCCAGTCTCTTTTCTCTTCCTCCATCTCTCTCTCTCGTTCTTTCTCACATTAAAATTTCATTACATTCCCATTAGTCTCCACTCAACTCCCACCCCATTCCATCACTAACCCCCCGATCTTTTTATTCTCGCACCGAAAAAGACACATACTAATGCTACTTTTTTTTTTCAATTAACGGAAACTAGCAAGGCTAAACTAAATTTACGAATAAACCCAGGACACTTTTTTCCCATACGATGTCCCTGCCCTACTCTTTTTAAGCTTGAACAATCCTTCGAATCTTTCCACAAATTTCCAAATGCTGGCCCCTGTACTTGATAATCCAACCACCATCCTTTTCCGTGACCGTCTTGTTTACCGGACACCCTTTATTGCTATTCGAGCATTTATAATAGACGCTCTTACATCCCGTCTTTTTCTGAGTCGTGTTCCCGTTGTTTTTCCACAGATAATCATCATTGTATGGGAATTCTTTTGTTTCAATAATCATCGTAACAGGTAACATTTCTCGACGTTTTCGCTTCCGTTTATTCTGCGGCGATGAGAGATCACTGTCGCCGTGCTCGAGCGCCTCTTGTCCGGTGGCTGATGATGGCGGAGCCGAGTCGAGAGATAGATTTTGGATTTGGGGAGATGCGAGAGCATTAAAGGCCGTTGGATATGTGAGCGTTGCAGCCTGCGTGTTGTAACTGTTGTGATAGTTGTGGTGGTGGTGATATTGGAAGTAATAGTGATGATAATAGTAACAATAATAGAAATAGTAACAATAGTGGTAATAGTAATCATCGCAATCGTAGTGATGGCCATTAACGTCGTTGCGATAGAATAATGTCAAGCGTGGGACGGTTTCACGGTTTACGTTCAATGATGGTTGTTGAAGGATATTTGTGTGATTTGAGAGTGATCCATGAGAGTATTCGGTCGAACAACAGGAAAAGAATAGGAGGGAAAAAAAAAAGAATGTAAGTAAAATCATGAATAAAATTCAAACACTAATCGCTCTGCAAGTCAAAACTATTATTTTCAATTCATCCCATATCTTCTAACCTCCTCCCCTCTCAAATATCATTTCTCCCCAACCCGACAACCCCGCATCTCCCAACCCCGTAACCATCTCTCCCTCTCCACCTCAAAAATAAAAATTGATAAAGAAAAGAATAGAATAAAATACCAAAACCGGCGCGATCATAAATTTCTAATCAATAAAAAAAAATAATCAAAATTTTAAACATACTGGCCGAGGTTGACGTACCCGTTCACTGAATGTTCTAGATCGTGATACGAAGCAAAAATAGAAAACGAGTTTTAAGTTTATTATTTGTTTACAATGTTTAATTATTTGCAGAACAAACAAAAAAAAATGACAAGGACGGATGATTGGAAGAGAGTGGCGGAGGGTGGGGAGCAAACAAAGAGGGGAGATTGGTAATTCAATGGTTGTGTGCAAGGATATGCAGGGCGTATGTGTATGTGAACGTGTATGTGTGTATGTGAATGTTAAATGTGAATGTGAAAAAAGCGAATGTGTGTAATGTGGGGGTTGTGTTAGATGTGTGTAATTGTGTGTGATTATGTGCAATTGTGTGTGTGGTCGTGTGTGGTCGTGTGTGATTGTGCGAGATTGTGTGTGAATGTGTGTGCGCAAGTTGTAGGTCCACAATGAAGCAATGGGAAAAAAAAAAGAGAGAAATAGAAAAATAAATTATATGTTGGGGTTTACCAATTCTCCCTGCCAGGGTAGTAGAAAAATGTTTGAAAGATCAACTCACCGTGATCGAACCCGATCTCTCCATTATGGTCCTCTATTTTAGCATCGGATGATCCGTCATTAACGTACGAGGAAGTTCTTCTATGCCTGTCGCGCGACTGTAGAGCTTCTATCTCTTTCATCCTGAGTCTTGCCTCTTCAGCTTTGCGCTTGTCTTCTTCGACTTTTGCCGCTAGAATTAGTTTTAGTAAGTCGGGTTGTTGATGAAACTGAGCAATGACATCGTGCAAGTCAAAAGCGGGCGGAGTTGTATTGGTGGTTGGTTGACAATTGGAGGTGAGAGCGGTTGGGATTGTAGGAGGAGTGGGAAGGGAAGTGGGCATTGTGGTTGTGGACATTGTCGAAAGGGACGTTGTTATGTTTGAGTGGTTCGATTGCGGAATACATTGGTTCGCGGTTAATGGAGAAGGAGGAGTTCCGGGAGAGGGACCCAGTTGCGTAGAATGTGTGGTGTATTGATTCGTGGGTTGTTGGTTAAACTGGTGGATCTGGGAGTGATGGAGGTGCGGGTGGGTTTTCGGAGTAAGCTGGAAAGCATTGTACTGGGCTTCTCTTGTCGCCATGATATAAAATGGGGGTATGGGAAGAGAAAAGGGGAGGGTGATAAAGGGGGATGGAGAGAAAAAGGAAGAAGGGGTGATGTGGGGAATTGTTGGTTTTTGGGCTTTTTGGGCTTTTTTTCTACCAAAAAAAAAAAAAAAAGTGGAATCAAAAATTTTTTGCAAAGGTTGATTAAATTTTCTAGGTGTGGGTTGTCAAGTAGACAGTCAGTAGATAGTCAGTAGAGTTGTTCAGTGGATGGTAAATGGTTGTTAACAAGTTGGTCAGTAGTAGTTCAGTCCTAGTTGTATAGTTGGTCAGTAGTTGTTCAGTAGTTGTTCAGCAGCTGTTCAGCAGTTGTTCAGTAGTTGTTCAGCAGTTGTTGCTGTCTGCTTGTTTCTCTCTCTATTCGATGCGTAGTTGTTTTTTGACTATTAAATTTCTATAATTTGATTATGCGATTACTATTTATTAATATTAGTATTACCACAGTATTAATAATGATGATGATTAAATCACTTACAGTTGTTTCTTTGTTTCTGCGGGATGTAGTAAGTAGTGTATGAGACACAGGAACACAGGAAAAAAGATGATGAAAATAGGGTGAAATAGTCTGGGGGTAGAAATTTTATGCAATAACACACGGGGAATTTGGCGATAATGACGGGATAATGTTGTGTTTATATATGAAAATTTTATTCTTATTATTGTTAAATTTTCGGTTTTAGTTGGTTTTGTATTGTGAGAAATAAATATTTGGGTTATTTTATATTTGCATATTTTATTGGAAGATAAAAGGGAGGGCAAATAGTTTCGGTGGTTAGTGCTTTATTTGCGCATCCTTTTCACGAGCAAATCACTCATCTTCCACAGCATAAAGAAAAACCTCGACGACGAATCAGCTCGAGTAGACTAGGTTGATTACAGTCGAATAAAGCGCAGAGGTCTCTCCAAATTTATTCAATCACTTATACAAAAAGCAATTGATTTCATATAACATGTAACAATACGATTAATATGATTACAGATTATAGAGATTATACAGAATTGCATATATTCCATGATCATACATATACAAGTAAGGTAGTCAAATATATTATATTATATTACATACACAGCTACAGATGAGATGGTCGACTATACGATTGATTTCCCACCCGATACATGTTGAACGTAGTCAAGGCGATCATAAACTATTCCAAGCACAACTACCCACATACTATCCGTAAACTATTAATACACTATCCCCATCACTATCCCCATATACCATCCACACACTATCCATATATTCATTTCAATCCCGTTCGTCCCTTTTCCTTTCCTCCCCCCCACCCCTTCCCTTCAACCGTCCCTTTCTCTTTTCCCTTCTCTGTTCTCTTCCCTTCCTTCTCAATTCTTTCATTTCAATAATTCGTTCGTGCAAACAACACATGACACATCTAAATAAGGGGTTAAGCAGTTGCAATTATGCATGACGAAAATTTGATGTGCGTTGCAGATGGTAGGCACATATTCAATATAAAAAAGTTGATTGTATAAAAAAATACACTAAACTGAAATAAGTGGCGTAAGTGCGATGTTGTATATATACATATATATATGTTTATATATGCCTTTTGTGTGTATATCATATCGCTTGTGAGTATGTAGTCGTGTGAAGTAGTTTTTGTGTGTGTATAGTTTTCTTCTTGTTTCTTCTGGCTCCTTCTTGTTTCTGTTATTTTTATTTATCTCGTCGATATTCGAAACAGGAGAAAAAAATTTGGCAAATTTAAGTGACCAATAAATTCCCGACGGTAAATCAAAAAACTGTATTTCCCTCCCACCAACTTTCGCGCGTTTAAACAAGTTTGGAAGCAGGTTTCATTCCAAATTAATGGTTTGTTATGGTCTAGTCGGGTTATTCCACGAGGGAAAAATGAAAAAAATAAAGATGAAAAATGTAAAGGCAATCTATGATGTAATCTAATCACAAAGTAATAAAAGCAAACGTGCTATGAATTAAATTAATATCCATACTATCAACTATCAACCAATCTATCTATCCATCAGCTTTATTCTTGTTCTTCCCATATGGACAAAGGCGACTCCGCCACTGATAGATATTTGCGCATATGTTTATCCTATAACATTATCATCGCGCAAAAAAAGAAAAGGCATAAATAGGCGCAGTACTTTTACATTAAAAAGCCACATTGACAGAAGTCCCGCCGAGACCTTGAAAAAATTTTTTTCTTAATCCTTTTTTGGATAGATGAATATTTACAAAGAATTTAATAGTATGTTCTTATTTCTTACATATTATATTCATTTGCTTAGTACATAATTGGAATGGAAGGGAAAAAGGATCTTGGAATACGCCCGCAAAGAGAAATATCATGATTTACGATTATCTAATCACTATAACACTATAAACACCCCTCCTATAAACCCTACTGTAAACATTACATTATTATTATACACTATATACATCCATTGTATACATGCTATATATTCACTACATATCACCATTCCAACCATTCCAAGAATCACACATACTCGTGGAAACAATATAGACTATTGTATCTATTAACATACGATATTACACTTTTGGCTATATTACATCTATTTGGTTAGTGTATCTGACAAACAAACGAATGTATGCGAGCCTGACGCCCACGCACTCAGGAGAGGGGAAGGGGGCCAAGATACCTGATCACATCAAACATACGCGTTCATGATTTCTCTCTTTTTTCCCTTTATTTTTCTTTGGGACAACAAGTGAACCAGGCAAATATTTCTCAAACATGGACCCATTTCAAAAAAACAAATAATCAAACAGCCTTATGTAGTTCTAGACTTGTAGTTCGAGACTTGGTTCGAGATTTTTTTTAGCCCAGGTCTCATCAATTTATCTCATAGTTGCTAATGCAGTCTTACCATGATAATTCCTATCCTTGCTGACCTGCTAATATTTGTCAACAATTCTGTAGCTGCTGCTGCTGCTGCTGTTGTAGTAATAGTAGTAGCTGTAGCTTGTAGATATTGTTGATGTTGATGTTGATGTTGTTGTTGTTGATGTTGCTGTAAGCTATAGCTGTTGTAATGGTTGTTATCAACAGTCTTCTTTGTCATGACACTTTTGGTTTCTTTCCCCCCTATTTTTTGCCCGTGAAAAATTTCCGTTTGATTATTCAAGGGTATGTTATTTTTACCAGGGTTTAATTTTCCATTTTTGCAACTAGCCAAGTGTGACCAGATGTTTTTGTATGAACATTCGGAAAATACGGATTATGCTTATGGGAATGATATGCACGTGAAAATGAAAGATGATTTTTGATAATCATCGTCCTTCATTTCCAATTGTAGCATAAACTGCAAAAGCATCTGCTTGTGAGAGAGGAAGAGAGGCAGAGAGATGTAGAGAGAGAGATAAAGAAAACGGGTAACTTGTTCTAATAAATTCATGTACTCCTTGCTAACAATGGTTCATACGCAGAATATTTAATCGCAAGCGGTTTACCAAAAACACGTCAAAAGGAATAGGTTACTGGCTGCAAATATATGTGTGCGCAGGTCTTTAAAATCTGCCCGGATCATCCTAGAAATTGCACAAAGACCGTTTCGTCATCAATTTTATTGAAAAAAAAAAATTAACGACCGAGTTGAAACATATCCCGCTACAAGTCTCACACAACGATTAGCAAAGTAAACAACACTTGGGCGGGACCATTCTCTGTTTGGGATTTCTGGTAAATTTGAACAACAAATTTCTGATTAGTCAAGTCATTTTCTGACTATTTAATATTTATTATCAGTATTATCAGTTATATCATCGTCAACACAAAGTACAAGGTTTGTTTTCTCGAGTATTGTCACAGTATCTTTTGACCGACCTGTTTCTTAAAACTTTTATTCAGATATGTGGCATCCCGACTTTATGCTCTGCCCCCACCCCCCCTCCCAGCAAATCAATTAAACGATCAAGATCTGCGATGGTCTGCATGCGCGACGATCACCTGATGCAAAACTTGCACACTGCCGTTGTTTGTTCATGAAACAGCAGTATTAATTGTCATCTCCAATTTGGGATTAATCAACGTTTTGCGTTAATCTCCGCTTAATTATTAATTAAAGATTAATTTTAATCCCTTATAGTGAATCGTAGCACCAAACCTTTAATGGGTTTGAGTTAATTAACGTAAATCTCATTCATTCTTGTATCTCAATGGTGCAGACGTCATCGTCATAGTCAAAGTCTGACGCATACTATGCAAATATATCGCGGAAATATCATTAGTGAGTATAACGCAGTTCTCTCTGATCACTCGTCTAATTCACCGTTTCGTTTAACCAAGATCGTTTCCCAACACAATGCTTTCCCTCATCCGCGATTATCATACGTGTTTTACGAAATCTGCGTTGAATCGCTTCGCCTCGATAGCCTTGTCCGTGGGGGGTTTTTCTTTATCGCAGAAAGTAATAACGGTCGCCAAGAATTTCCTGTCGATGGAAAGGAAGTTTCCGATCCAATTAGATTTTTTTGTCTTAGTATCCAACGGATAAAACATATTCCTGGCAACCTTTCCCTGATGTCGCAGTCTCAATTAACTAGCGGTCAGTGTGATTTCAGCGAACGTGCATCAGTTTCTGTTGGTCACACAATATTTTATATAATGACAGTTTTAGAATTTTCCTAATACAAACATCAATTCACAGGACTTACCCAAACCGACAACCGTGAGCAAAAAGTCGAGCGTGTGAAGAAGCCAACAAAGGCGGTGTAAATACAAACACCAGTTAATCTCACTTTTTGAAGCATATATCCAGATTGGCCAATCAGTTGATCAATTCCCAACAATGCTACCATTCTAGTTTGTCTCATAGATTTATGCGCTGGTTGTGTATTGGTATCCTTGGGAGTTTACGATATTTTTTAACGCGACACGTCATGCTGAATGTTCTGTAAAGCATGTATGCACTTGCCCAAGTTAAGGTTCCCTTCTAATAGTTGGTGTTTTTCCTAAACACAAAAACGTCTTTGCATAAGGTCTCAAAATACAATACCATTCTCATTAACAAATGTGCTAACATGCACTTCTCTCTGTTAACGTTTACTATTCTATTGAAACGAAAACATGTTTTACATACAAGTCGCCACTTCTACCACGACTCAATAACATCAGCTCGAATGACGAAGAGGAGGGCTACGCAAATCAGCCAGCAAACTCGCGTGAATGAGGACCTATTACCTTCGAAATTATGTACAAAGAATCCGAAGCGAGTTTCCACGATCTGCTGTGACAAGGAACGAGGTATCTTAACATAATGGGCCCTTGTTCACAAGAGCTTATGGTATATTAATATGGTTAAGCAGATTAATTCATCAATTTCGCTAATTTCGCGAATCTTGCAATGGGGTTGACTTGTTCCCGATTGAAAGATTTGCACTTTGCATCGTGTAAAATAGGCAACATCAAACTGAAGGAACATCGCGATTCTCGTAATCGCCATAGGAAAAAGCTTTATTTACTAAAGTAACAGTGTTGCGTTTGAACTGTAATACAGCGCCATTGACATTATACAAAGGCTCAAACATCCCAGTTGTGTAGGGTCGTGGGATCTTATACAAGAGGAAAGACGAACTTGTAATGGGAAATTAGTCTTCAGATATTATATTGAATGATATGTTTGAGTCGCGATCGCGCAGGCTTGAAATGTATCGGGAGCCACGTCCGAGATACGGAACATTGATATCGGGGAACAGCACAGTCTTTTAATAGCTTTTGATACGCATCTCTATATTGTTGGAAAAGCGCGAGTAATTTTACTGTGTATCATGTTCTCACACAACGTCATTGCGTACCGCGGTGTGTTCGTCAAGTGACACTCACTTTCAGATAAACTTTTTATTTTTAAAGAATTGCCTGGACAAGAAGTTTCAAGTAAATGATGTGGAGACGCTCAATCTGTCTTATCTGATCATTGTCATTGAAAACCCGTTTCCGACTTGACCTCGGTAGCATGAGTGTCGCGTGAGCATCGGAAGACGTCAGACATGTTTATTGCGGTGTGGAGTAGTCAATAGCATCACAAAAGCGTGTCCGCGTCCTAAATGTTCAACCTGCGCACGCTCTCCCATCCCATTTCATACCCAAATATCGATTCAATAAGAGATGGACGCGAGATCATAAACCGTTGGAGGAAGTCAAAAGGAAGCTTCTCCCTTAGACTTGCCTTCGGAATCCACCTATTTGGCCAGTATCCAGCATATTAGCATACGAAATTTCCAACGACACCTCAACAAATTCACGTGCATGTCTTCTTCGCCCATATTCCACGTGATGAAACATAGTTGTTCCATTCGGCGTAATTGTCGAATATGCAGTCCATAGTTAATGAGAATGAGACATCAAATATTATTATATACAGGTGCCCATACAATTTCAAGCGCAACATAAGTACTCATCCTATATAACGAGACATGAATGAATAGGACAAGTGGAATCTACATATAATGGAACAGGTCTTTGGACAATCACCCGTCAAAAAGTCTAATGCGTTGCGCTAGAGAACTGTAGCGACCACTATCACCTCGTTAGCATAGGCATCAAGCATCATAGACTAATGTCGTTGCTTTTTTTTTTCCCGTATGTTTCCCCCGCCATAAACAAATTCGCTCCCACGCTTTACAAGCCAAGCATTCTTTGACAAAATTCCATGATCACCCCCCCTTAAACCTTTCTTCATAATCATGTGGTAAAGAAAAACTGTTGGAGACCCGTATCCATCTGTCTCTCCATCTCCTTATCTCATCTTTGGTTCATAAATAATCACATTAACTGATACACAATAAACTTTTTCTTATCTCTCCCAGAAAACGCTGTCGAATTAGCCTATTATGCTATTTTCAATAAGAAAAAAGGTCGAGTTAATATCTACACAATAAACTAGAGCAACTTTTTCCATACGATGAAAAGTAATCAGACAGCAGTTGGAAAACAGTCAACGTAGGAGGCGTATACGCCTTTTCAGTCGAGAAAAGTTGCATCATCATTTGTCCTTTGTAACTCTGTACATGAAAGACCATATTTACCTGGGGCTGGTTGCCACAGCATGGTCAACCGGAAGACCCTCCTTTGGCTTGCTATTACTGTTAGTATTAGCGTGCGTGTGTGCGTGTGTGCGTGCGTGTGTCCGAAGCAGTCATACTCTTGAGACGAGCCAAAAGAGGTCAAGAATTGGGAAATGGAATTCTTCGCTTTGTGGATATGGAAACGGGTAGTACAGAAACACGTGAGCATGAAACGCTAAAAGAATAGTTGAAGGAATGTCTAAACGTTTAATTAATTACTCATAATAATTAATATGAAATTAAAAAAGGATTGACCAGGTGCAGAAAAAGAAAATGAGTTTGACACAAACCATTGTCGACCGACCGGGCGTTGCATGTGGGTGAAAAAAAAACAACGGGTGATCAAAGAGAACTTGATGATGAAACGACGAGTTACAAAGTCGGGAAAATTAACTAATTAATATTTTTTTGATATTTTCAATGGACACGCCTTGTTTGTCTCTTATTGCCCAAACCTCAACAACCCCCCTCCCCTTCTTTGAATGCCTCGTGGTTCCACCTTGTCCGGACCGTCTTTGTTCCAGCATCCGTATCGAAAACACAAACATTCCGGTAACCGGGATTTTCATTTCCTTGTACCTCGGCATTTAATGACAATGTTCCCTTATTCTTTAATTACCATGCTCTCAACGGCGCTACTTACAAAGCAAACAAAAAAAAACTTTTATTTATAATCTAAAAATGTTCAACAAAGCAGTAGATCACGTGAAAACGGAATTTGAACGGTCATTGATAATCTTTCTATCTATCGAAAGGAAAAAAAGCCAGAAGCATTAGAATAAACCGCTCTTCTCTTACCCACAGCTTCCAATCTATTCACGTGTCTCAACAGGCTTTCTCTCTGTTATCATGCTTTATTGACTTTTTCCATAGAACGAAGGGAAAAAATCCATCGATCAAAAAAAAAAAAAATAAGAAAAGCCTACTGACGAATCGGGCTCTCTTACCAAGGATAAGATCAATCTTGAAGAAGAGAAGGGTAAAAAAAAAACAAGTGTGAAGAAAAAAAAATAAAATCGAACCTCCGGAGAAACTGAGAAAATAAGACTAGAAGAGTAATGGTAAGTGCGTGAATGAGACAAAGAAATTGGGGAGTAACACGATAGATAACTCGCGCTAGGTGTAGTGTATACTAATATCTCTAAGAAGAATCAATAAAGTACATGAACGGAAGATGAGAGAAGAATAAATAACAAATACAAATGAGGGTGATAGATGTGAGAAAGGGGGGGGGGTTCATTAATATACAACATATATAATATTGAAGGGGAATGAATTATTTTATATAAGATCAAGGTAAGAGCGAGAGTTTAAAGAAAAGTATTCAAACAAAAAAATCAAGAAATAAAAAAAAAAACAAAAAAACAAAAAAGGAACAATAAAAACAAAACAAAACAGACAAACCGACCAACAACAACAACAACAACAACCATATGGGGGTATCTACCAACAACAGATAACTCTAGATGAAAAAAGAAAAAGAAAAAGAAAAAAAAGAGAAGAAAGTAAAGAAAGAAGGAGTTTAAAAAAAAAAACGTCTTTTTTTTTTTAAATTATTTCTACTTACATCCACTAACACCCCCAAATTTGCTTGGTTTTTGTATTATTTATTAAATAACCAGACTTGTGAGATTCTCTCATCTCATTCTCGACCACAAACCATCACAAACGCACAGACAAAAAGACAACAACCGCTATTATTACTACCACCACCACTAATACTACCGCCATCACGCCATCACGCCATCACACCATCACACCATCACACCACCATAATCCCTTCTACTACACTTGCTATTCGTTATGGAACCACCTGCCAGTATCGGCATACTTGTCCATTTCTCTCGTAGCACTTCTAACACTAGCAGCCGTACCCGCATGACTTCTCCTCAACATCAATTCCTCCAAATCGTCCTCCTCTTCCTCTTCGTCCTCCTCTTCCGTCTCTTCTCCACGCAACCTCTTTACTTCCTTTTTCAATTCCCGAATCTGATTACTCATTTCTTCGATCTGTACCTGGAACCCTTTCTGCATGTTCAATACTAAATGATACAAATCGTCCATTGTCAAATCGGGCGTTGTCTGAGCATCCGATGATTGGTCGTCATCCATGGTGAAATCCCGCGGAAAGAAGTTTGATGGAAGCTGTTGAGCTATGGGCGAGGTTCGCACGAAATCGGGCAGTTTCGGGAGTGTATTCGTCGTGGAATCGCTACGCGTTGACGAAGGTGCGGGTTTGGCTCGCTTGAGAGTGAATCGTGGGAGGGTAAACATCTTGTTGCGCGGAGCCTTGTGCTTTGTCGTCGGTGTTCCGGTCAAGCGACTTTGTGGGGTGTAGCGAGTTGTGGGTGTAGATGTAGCGTAATTGTTGTCTTTTGCTGGTGGTGGTGGAATGCCCATGCCAGAAGGGCTGGATTTGTCTTTCTTGGAGTTTGGCATTCGTTTTTGTTTTCCGTGTTCGTTATCGTCTCCGTATGGAAATCCATTTCTATAAGTTTCAATGTCATCCTCATCCTCGTCAGCATCCTCATCGTCATCTCCTCTCCCGGGCAAAGAAGGTGATACTCTTCCACCTTGTTTGTTTAGCATCCAACTTCCCTCCGCGCCTAACCCAGGCTGTGATGATTCTGCATCTCTGTTATACCCATCCCCACCCCCTATATACATGTCCTCTCTTTCTTTTCTATTTCCTCTTCCAGCATTAAAGTCTTTTTCCGCATCGGTCGGTATGGCTGGTAGATTTTTTCGTGTGTCAGGAGTTCGTGGGTTCCGTGTTCCAGCCATCGGTTTACAAAGTGGGGATGGGAGGGCAAGGCAGAGACAGAAGTAAGCCAAGAGTTTCAGAGTAGGTTTGGTGGAATGGGAGACGGGAGGAGGTGGAGATTGGAGAGCGGTGTTGGTGATTTTGAAGACGTCGAGAGGAGGAGGGACTCAGTCGACGAGGTGTGGAGTGTTAAGAGAGTGAATAAAGGTGAGTGGTAGTTGGGGGGGAGGGGGTTTGTGCGAGAGTCGAAATTAAGAAATGGAAAGGGGGCAGATTTGAGAGTTTTGCTACGAGACTTGCAGTGTAGACAGGAAGAGTGGTGGTATTTGTCGAGTTAAAAAGGGATATTAGAATGGTATAATAATAATAGTAATAATGATATGATAATAGTAGTATACTATATAGTGTATGTCTCTTTTTCTTTTATGTATTTCTATTAGTAGTCTCTGTTTCTTGTTTTCCTATTTCTTCCTTGTCTGAGTGAGACCAGCCCGACTTGATATTTCAGTTCTATTGATGGGTTTCTTTTGCCAGAGAAGAGTTAGACAGCCAAGGAGGAGCAAGTCTCTTTTTTTTTCCCCTTCTGTATGATGCTTATAAATTCGCAAGTTTGGTCAACGGTATTTACTTAAACAACGTATATTAAAAGGGGGGATAAAGTGTATGTATAAAATCTATATTAATATTCTTTGGATGAACATTCTTTTTGAACAATTTGGGTCTTTTAAGTTGAGAAGAACGGAAGAGTAAAAAAAAAAAGGTTGGGTTGGTTGGTTGGTTGTTTAATTTTTTTGGGTTTTCGTTGTCGATGACAAGGATGATTGGCGGGGGATTGTCTCTTGGGTTTTTATTTTATTTATCGATTGGCAGTGTTCGGATATAGGATGGAAAAGAGTTTTTGATGATGAAAAATTGATGCGGTGTGACTCTGTTGTGTTGCGATGTGAATTGATGTTAAGTTGAGTGGAAATGTTGTTTGGGCGAAAGTAAAAAAGAGTTTAAAATCAGTGCTAACCGGTGGGTAATAGGCCAAATACGAAGATTATTACCGAAATATAGTAAAAATGCAAAATAAGGCGAATAAGAATAAATAACAAAACGACATATGATTATACCAAGTAAGCGTTATTTGACAGTGTGATCTCGTATTGTGCATATGACATATTGATTATGTCGTATTATTTATATAACACATATTAATATAATATATCAACTATTTATATATACCAATACCAAATACCAATATTATGATATTATATATTATCATTATATTATAGGACATCAATACATTTAATACAATTGAATCTGTCAGTATATAATCGGCATTTTATATTTGTTTAACATTACGTATCACGTTTATCTATTATCTACTTTATTTATTATCTACTTTATTTTATTTACTTGTTCCATTCATCATTTAATTATTACTTTATATGGGGACCGTGCCAGACAAAGCGACATTATGTTGGCAATTTATGAACCCTGAAATGCAAGCCGTGCGTGCCACATAACCTCTTCGTCCACTGATGTAACCACCAAACCCAAACATTGATATCTACATATCTGATTACAAGCTGCGGATTGTTGACCATTTGCTGTGCACTGAGTGAGCGATGATAACATTATGAAGGTGCAACAACAGTCTTTAATCATTAGGCAAAACACACACCCCCATTAAATATACTAAATTGCTTAAACACAAAGCATTCTTCAATAATATAAAAGTTGATTAGTTGTAACACTAGATAAAAAGGACAAGATTCGGACACATAACCTGCCAACTTGTATACAAACAGACCACATCCGATTTTGTATCATACTTTTTAGAAAATAAACCTGTAATAGGAAATAGGTTAGAATTATATCATCAAATACCATTTTCTGTTTTATGGTATCTACAAAACATATTTCATACAGTCTACGCTTGTTTTTCTAAATGCTGTGATTCCGACTATTTCCTCTTATTATCATACATTCTATCGGATTTAGTATTAGGGTGTGTCATCGTTTGTAATGACAATCCAAACAATGCATAGTAATAGACGTTATCGTTACCGTAGAGAATTGTGTCGTATTGGAAAAGGTATTAAATTAGACAATGTTAACATGAACGTTTAACAACTTGACCCCTGAAAAATATGAAATGTGGCGTTGTATTCGTTTTATTTGTTTTTCTTTTTCTTTAATTTTTTTTTACGGATAAGCAACTCCGTATACAATACACTACGCATTCCTCCTTGTATCATCCATTCAATTCTGCTTTCCTGCTATGTGTTGCGCCATCATTCTTAATCTTTATTTGTGATGAGACTCGACCAGAGAAAGAAAAATGATACTCCGCATGCATATCGCAATAACATAACCGAAATCCAAATAAAGAGGAACGGGAGGTGACACTGACGCATCGTGCCACGTGATAAGTAACTTGATGGGGGGAAGGGGTTAATAATCCATTGTCCCCGATAATCTTAATATTATGTCTTTGAATGCATTCATTGTCATGATTGCATTACTGTCATTACTGCATTATATAAAAGTAAAGCTATTCTATTACGAGCGAGTAACGACAGTTTTAGTCATGTGATAGGATTTTAGCAAACGATAAAAAATGCAATGCTTTTTATTATCGCCGAAAAAGGATTCATAATTGACGATAAATCTGATAATTCAACAATTCAGATAAGAAATCCAGGGGATTCCTCACTTTATTATTCCGCTCATTTTGTGCCGATTGATATTTCAACGTTTTGAAAATTTTTACATGTTCTCATTTTTGTGTGGAAAAATTAACTTTTGTGTGAGGCCAACACTTTCAATTTCGAGGTCAAGGTATCAGAGCGTTCTTGGCTTTTTAATTATCTATTCGATCTAAAGTTCAATCAACCGTTGATTTGTGTTCCATGGTGGACAAAAGTATCGACAAGCTTGCAATTGGTTAGGTTTTTATTTGCCATACAAGCTTTGATTTTCTTTTTCTTGGCACTCTAATTAATCGAGCATCGTTAGAGAGACAGTTTTATCGTTATGAAAGTAGTATCATATTTACCAATTACGCATCATGATGTGATTACTCAGTTCTTTCCTAATCCACTTCGGGTGGGGCATTCTAAAGTTAACACATCTTTCTGATTAACATATTAACTTTCGGTTTTCAAGTTCCAGTGACAATTCGGTCAATGTGAAAGGGAGCCACTTTTATTCTGCGTTGAAGGTTAACTTAGTAATTGCAGATCTTGTGCTATTCAGAAACGAGACATGGTAGATAGGCCATGCAGCTAAAGAGTAAAAGGCAAGACAATACTTTACATTCAACTCCCGTTGTAATGTGTCATTTGTAGACTGCACTACCTCACCTGACTTTATGACACAACAGACCTAACCAAAAAGTTTAAAATAATGACATTCAATACATTGCTTTCGTAGATGATATTTCTCTCGTTTTCACATCATTCTATATACATGAGATAGGTTCCCGCAGCAAAAACAAATGTCAATTGCAGTCTTCCAACAAGACAATCCTCGGCGCAGTCACTGAAGCGCAATATCTGTTCTTTGTAAATTGGGTAATATCAGACATATCTAAAGTGCACCGCATGAGTTTGAAAAGTAGAAACAAAGAATTTGTCGTAACACAGTACCAATTTATTTGTTTGTTATTTTTTTTACCTCCATTATATATAAATCTCATCCCAACATCAATTATAATTCTCCTGAAAATAACGAAGAGTCCAACCATTTAGAAAAAACCAATGAACGTGCGGCCTCCCTTAAACGAGCAACGTCAAGAGCGACGTCAAGAAGTTCTCACATTGTTTGATGAGGCCGATATCGCCCCATTGCACATTAGGGTCTGCCTAGTGGCGAGTGCTGGATTCTTTACAGACGGCTACACACTGTATTCCGTGCTGTTTGTCTTTCCGATGCTGTTATATGCATTGGGAGATTCCACCCCCATCTCCTCCGTCGGCGTTTTGATAAAAACGTCGACATGGATTGGCTGTCTATTCGGCCACATCATTTTCGGTTTCATGACCGACATATACGGTCGCAAAAAGGTAAAACGAATGGATAATAACCAACATTAATACGTAGCGCAAATCCTAACTGTGCGGTATGCTTTGCGTGCAGATGTTCGGGATGGAGTTGATAATCGTAACGATCGGCACAATTTATTCCGCCATCTCTGGACAGGGTCATGACCTGTCATTTGTGGGTGCTTTTGTTTTCTGCCGGATAATTCTCGGCATAGGAACAGGCGGGGATTACCCGATAAGCACACGTACGTACCATTGCTTTATATTTTGAAAGTAACAATTTTTCACCCGCACGTAATAACATTTCTCTTTTACATATATCAAGTCATCATCTCTGAACTCGCGCCAACAAGACACAGAGGGACAATGTTGGCAGCAGGGTATGCCATGTTCACCGTGGGAGCGCTTACGGCTGCTATGGTCTCGGTGGTGACTATTGTTGCGCTGAAGGATGCAATCATTCAAGATCCACAAAACCTCGACCGCGCATGGCGCGTTGTGGTCGGTTTTGGCGCCCTGCCCGCAATAATAGCGCTGTACTTTCGGTTATCGATCCCAGAGACGCCTCGGTATTTGATCGACGTCGAAAACGAGGTCGAATGGGCCGCTAATCTCGGTGTGGAACTACAATACGAGGTCCCCATACTGGCACACCCCACCAGCTGGCAGGAACATTTACACAAATTCCGCTTACGAAAAAGGCTAATGTTGACTTCGGTCATGTGGTTCGCCACAAACATTAATGCCTCCTTATATCCCGGCTGGACTCTCATCCCGGACGGGGACGGGGGCACAGTGTATGGCAGCCTTTTACGGTACTGCAGCAACTATGTGGTTTGGCTTCTCCTGGGCTATGTGCCCGGGGCTTTACTGACCGTGTACCTAATAGACCGCTTAGGGAGAAAACCGATTTTATATATCGGTTTTCTCTCCTGCGCTGTTTTGTTTCTTCTGCGAGGTTTGTTGGTGCGGTTTACGCACGATGC